TTTATTATTGATTTCAAATGTCTTAAAAACTGAAGAAACCCAAGTATCTTCCCAAACTTGCTCTTGAAGGTAACATTTACTTCTCAGAGGAAAACAATATCCTTCCCCCCTTTTGGGCTAGGTATCATTGCCTCATTAAAAAAAAAAAAATGAAATTGAAGCTGGAGAGATGATAGCCCAGTGGTAAAGAGTACTTGCTGCTCTTGCAGAGGACACAGGTTCAATCCCCAGCATCCACATGGTGGCTTAGAGCAATCCATAACCCCAGTTCCAAGAGATCCAAAGCCCTCTTCTGACTTATGAGAGCAACTAGGCATGCATATATATGGTGTACATGCATGCATTCAGGCAAAATACATTAAAAAAATAATAATTTTTTTTTAAAAAGGTGAAATTCTATTTGGTAGCTCCCCAAATTCTGTGGGTGGCAGACTTCTCAATACAACAAAGCTGCAAACAAGAAGATAAAATTTCAGGACTGTGAAGTTCACTGTGTCTGTGAACTTTATGTAAATTTGTTTAGACTAATACTATGCAGTTACTTGCTAATCATATACAGGTTTATCAATGACTACTAGATGCATGGTTTAATGTAAATATTAGGCTTCAAAAGTATACAGTTACTGGCACTTTCTTCTCTTCCCATTAAAACTACAGGGTTGAAAGGTAGTTTAGTCGCATAACGTGCAAGTATGTGCAACATCTAGGCTTAAACCTCTGCTTTTGGTGCAACAGACAGGAGAAAGCGCTGACTCAGTTTACTCCCAGGGAAGTCACAAACGAGAGGTAACTAAGAAGCACAAAGGAAAAAATTAGATGTTCTTTCGACCCTAACTCTAAGAGAATGGTAAATATTTTCAAAAGACTATTATTACTTTAAGTTGAGTTTGTCTATGTGAGTGCGTGTGCTCACGCATGTGCAGGTGCCCGCAGAGTCCAGGAGTGGGTGTTGGGTCTCCTGGAGTTAGGCTGGACATGATGATGCTGGGCACTGAACTATGATCCTCTGGAAGAGCAGTAAGCACTCTTAACCACTGAGTCACCTCTCCAGCCCTGAATCGTAAATGTCAACCTTTAGGAATCCAAAGTAGATGAAATTGAGAAGGATCATGGAAGTATCTGCCACCTATTTCTGTTTTTATTATCCAATACCAAAATACATTATCTACATCTGCCAAATACTAAATTTCATTTTCAGCACTGTTTGAGGGACATATTATTAAATCTTACTTTGAAATTCAATTTCCACAAAAGACAGTAATTTTTGTGCCCCTCACATTCTATTTACTAAAAGTAGGAATTATGAAAATATGCCATACCATACCTTTTGAAGCTAGGTGAAATCACTTTTGTGTGCATTTTATTTTAAAATTTAAATATTTTTGTGTAATTAAAAGTATATTTTTTAAAACTCCAGACTTCCTGGAGACATGCAGACATATTTATTGCATAAGGGGCATATAGTTTTTTAACAACTACTAAACTGCTCTCCAAAACAGTGAACAAATTTATACTTTAAGACCAGCACTGCAAGAGATTCTCCTTCCTACCACTTTGGGATCATCATACTTAACACCTGCCAAAATGATGGAAAATGGTCTCATGCCTATTTTAACAGAATGTTTTCAATAATGCACCCTATAAAAATTAGGTTTTGTGAAAAGTACATACCAGTATTCCATCTACCTAATCCCTTCTCCTGGTAAAATGTCCAAACCAAAGGTAATTTAATATAACCAAAACTCTTAATGCCACAACACATTTGTAACTGATAATGTTCATTCTAGTCCATGTTGTTTTCTGAAAGTGATACCCTACATTAAAATATTAAATTCAATTTCAGTGTGCAAAACAGACAATTAGGGGAAATGATGAATTTGGCAATACAAATTTTAAATTTCAAGTCATGTCAAATATAAATGGAAGGGCAGAGCCTGCTTAAGAACTAAGGTACTATCTATACAAAGGTCAGCATCAAAGCTAAAGGAATGGAGGTCCTGTCGAGAAGGTAAGGAAGGAAAGGAATGAAGATCTCAGTGAGGAAGGAAGTGGCCAGGAAAGCAGACCTAACAACTCTTTTAAAATGAAAAGAAGCAAGCCCAGCTGTCTGGTTCTTAATGATGGAATGAATGGGGAGAACAAAATTCAGACCACTACAGAGACGGCTTGAGCAAAGATCATTATGCTTATCTATGAGCTATTAAAATGAACAATGTCATGTAACAACCTCAGACTGAAGGTCTGTGGACAAACCTCCGCCTACAGGTGATACGGCTCAAAGAGTTTTACTCGCTTTTGGAGAAAAAGTAAGTAGACAACTTGGTTATATTCCAACACCTACAATTTAAGATAAGGTTAATAAAACATAAGGTCCAAACCGAGGAAAGACAAGCAATGTGACCTAATGGGAGTGCTGTGGTTAAGCATTAAGTTTGCTCTGCCCTTATTTCCCAACAAAGTTTAAAAATGTAAACTGCACATCATCTCATGTAAGACATGTTTCTTTCAAGACAAACTTTCTCTGGGAACTAAAAATAAAAACTGTCACATGAGTCTGAAATTCAAATATCAACACCTACAACAGGTTTTTAAAGTAAAAGAAGAAATACTTATTTAGTGATTAAAGCTGTGTAATTTTAACACACGTCCAACACTGTTCTAAGCCTTGTATGAAATTGCAACTCTTAATGTTCACATGGCTATTTCTTAGGAACACTATAAAACCTGGCAGACCTAGGAGCGCTGGCAACGCAGGCGACTGCTGAGGGGGAGGGAGGCCTGTGCGGGAGCCTGAGCACTCAGAAGGGATAAAAGCACCTAGAAAGGTCAACTAGGAGCTGACCCTAGAGTGAGAGAAACGCTTCTTACGTGGAAAATGAAGCAAGCGTTCAAGAGAGGAAAACTTTATTTTTGGAAAACAGATCAAATAAAACTTCAACCAATTTATAATACTGTCTATGTTCCCTTTACATAAATTCATGACGGGGTGGTTTGAACCTTGACAATAGGTTCTCTCAGGACTGTCATCCTTTTTGAATTGGTTCTGAACCTGTTTAGTTACCTAAGTTTTGGTGCAAACACACACACACACACACACACACACACACACACACACACACCACTAGTCTAGTCCCTTAACTAAAGTCAACAGGGTTATCTTATTGGCACTTAACACTCTCCAGGAATCTGAGCAAACCTTGGGGAATTCCCTCCCTAAACTGGCTGCTTCTGCTGGGCAAGATGAGGGGGGACAGAATGGGACATAAGCCAAAATAGCATTCCTACGTTACAGCTTTGAGATGATTTATTAATATTATTAATAGGGCAGTGAAACCAGAAACTTTTGGGGAAACCAAACATGAAAGTTCAATTTCCTATCTGACTTTTAAAAAAGGGCACTGGAGCCATCATAGGGTGGGGGTGGGGTGTCACAGAACCAGACATACTTTTAACAGAAAGCATCTCCTATTCTGCATCCTGTGAATATTAACTATTAAATGGTAGCAAATGCACTTTGCAATTCTGTTAAATGTAAACATGTGTTTTGTGCCACAAGCCTGGTAAGCCAGACGTGAACCCTGTATGTGATTAAACATGCATAATACACATTCTACTTTCTAAAACATTGAAGGTGTAATTTAACCAAGGTCTAGGTTTAAAAAACAAAACACTAAAAGGGATCTGAATTATCTAATCCAACACATTTCAATAATGGTCATCAAGCTAGTTTGTGGCACAAAACCATTATCACAGAATACCACAAATTTTGTTCATCATTAAGTGCTTTTTGTTTGTTTGTTTGTTTTGGTCTGAAATAACACTTTTCACTCTGGGAAAATAACCAGGAAAGTTTTAGGAAGGTCCCCACATGAATTACAGGAAACATGAAACAGGCCTGAGCTTGAGGTTATAAAATTCGCACTTTCAGTTTGACTTAAGGCACCGTGCAGAGCTGGAAAGAGGATAAAATGCAACAACAGGGCACACCATGTCAGTATAAAGTCAGAAAAATAGGGTACAGGAAAAGCCTGAAGTCAACGTTCTACCTAGTGGGGAAAACTAAACCTATTTATAGTATAGAAAAGCATTCAGGCCGGTGTCATATTTAAGAAAACTCAATTTCGTTCAGGCTCAATTCCCACACTATACACACAATGAGTCAACATCCTATCACAATTAAGTCCCCCAAACGACTTAGATTTTTGCATGCTTATGTCACACTTCATTTTTGCTCTTTTTTTTTTTTTTTAATTTTAATTTTAAAAAGGCCGTCAACCTCACAGAAGACATCCGACAAGCTACTGCTGGTCCCCGTAGGAACAGGTGGTCCGTGCTGCGTGCCTCATCCTCTAGGCCACATGTCCCTATTCCGCCTAATCTCATTTCTGAAGCATTATTTCCGGTGGCCCAGATGGCTCTACGCACGCCAAAAACGATCCACCTCAGAAGGATTAAGAGCCCTCGGCCACATCTGGCATCCAGTGGGATGGTGTGGCAGAGGCTTAGAGAGGAGGCAGGCCGTGTAGGGGGGGGGGGGGGGGAGGCTGGAAAAAAAAAAGGTGAGTCGGGAGGGTAGAGGCTCCCCGCTCTACGCCCGACTCCTCAATGTCACTGGCTGGAGATGGGATGGATGCTCGCGCGGCATCCCCCTCGCGGGGCCCAGGAGGCGGGCCGGGGTGGCGGCCGCCAGCCGGGGTGGGGAGGGGGCAGGCAGGGGCTGCTGCAGAGCAGACCAGCCCCGCTCGCTGGGCGCTCGCCGGTCGTCCCGGGGCGACCTGCGCGGGCGGGCGGGCGCCGAAGGGGAAGTGGGAGCAGGCGGAGGGGCGCGGGCGGGGCCGGGCGGGCCTGATCACATGGCGCAGCCGTCGCAGGCCGCCTGGCATCGTTTTCTTTCTCTTCCGCGAACCCTGGGGCTGCCGTAGCAGCCCCGCCGCCGCCCACCGCCGCCCCGGGGCCGGGACCCCCCTCCCTCGGCTCACCCACGCCAGCCAGCCACTCACTTGTCGCCCGCGGCCACCATCTCCTTGCCCTCGCTGTTGCCGAACGCGTCCGTCTCCCCCGGGCTGTCCTTGGGGCCCGGGGCTGGCGAGGCTGGGGGCGGCGACGCCCCGGGCTGCTGCTGCTGCTGCTGCTGCTGCTGCTGGGGCGACGGCGCGCCTCCCTTGCCCAGCTCCTGCAGGATCTCCGAGGGCGAG